TCAGAAGGAAGAATCGAAAGATCAGACAAGTAGTTGTCATCTTTATAATATTTGAATGCTAATATAAATGACTTAACTATTTCCAAATCTTTTTTAGATATCAGCAGTGAATTAGGTGGTTTAAATGACTCAGCATTAAGACGCTTGGATGGAAAGCTGATAAACTATCTAATTTTACCATAAAGGCAATTCCAAGCATATTACTGATTCATTAGGATGGTTTACAGACGTGCCAGTTATCTTAAAAGATAAAGAAGGTAAGACAGTCACAGTTATTGAAAATTTTATTCGTATTGATAATGATAAAATAGAATCAATGCTAATTTTTGGTATATCAAACATTCGAAAGGTTCAAGGTGTTTCCGAGCCAAATAAAAACCAGTTTCACATAAAGTTACATGAAAAGGCATATATTATCCCAACCTTTAGCAAGGCTCTGGTAATTAAGGATCCACCAAAAGAGGATCGGGAATCATCATGCGAAGCACCTCTTGACTCTTAGATTTTAGCTAATTCTTCTAATTCGACTAGTGAGAAAGACTTAAAAAAAAGTACAAAGAGCTTAAAAACGACTCATAACGACTGAAGAAATGCTCTATTCAGCCTTAAGTACTGGTAAATTTCTTGCTGATATATGTGAATTCTTATATAAAGGGAGTGGTATGAGCTATTAAACCCTTAAGTTTTTCACCACAATTAACTAGATTTTTAAGAAGAGATTTCATCTTATCTTCTCAGGATGTATCAGATGAATTATCAAAGACCACACTATTTTTGTTATTTTTTTCCACTATACTGGTTGCTTCAGTAACTGGCTTCTTATCTATTTTAACCTTTTTTTCAACCATTCTTTTTTGAAATCTCTGTAGCCAGAAGGGATATAGATGATACTTCTGATACTACTTAAAAGTCTGTTTCGTCTTATCCAAAGTAAGCTGATCAGAGGAAGATAAAATAAGCCCTTGTTGAAGACACTTATTATTATTTCATATTTCATAAACATACTGAGCATCAATATGGAATTTTTCAGCCATTTTTTTTGATGCATTAGGTATACAGTGAACTCTTGATATAACGAATTCTAGGATCTGGATATCAACTTCGTTATAAGCTTATAACGAATTTTTTAAAGAATTTAATTGGCTAGTTCACTATAGTAAAGGTAATTTTAATATATTTGATTTAAAAATTCACTATATCAAGGGTTCGCTATATCAAAGTTTGACTGTATTACCTCTTGATTCTCTAATCTCTTTAATATCAGATTCTGACAACTGAGTTGCATTGGATCGATAAAATTTTTTATGGAAATGGGTAATCATTTTTTTAGTTAGAATATATATACAAAAAAATTACCAATAATTTTTTTAATACTTTTCAATGTGTATCAATATTTCTGGTGATTCAATACATATCAGTGCCTTTTAATATGAGTCAATGCTTTTAATACATATTGGTGTCCTTCAATACATATCGGTATCTTCAATATATATTAGTATTCTCTTTCAATACACATCAATAAGTATGAATAAGTGTCAGTGCCTTTCAGTACGTATTAGTGCTCTTTTTTTCAATAAATATCAATAGGTATTAGATTTGCCAAAAAAAATAATCCGCTTTCTTATAAGTTTAAGGCCCCTAGCTAAATTTTTTTTGTCTAAAGTAAAAAAAATACCAATAAAATACCTCAGATCCATACCTTAAAAGATCTGGATAATGGTAATAAACTTGGAAATTCTCCAGCTAATTATTATCCCTAAAGATGGGCACCATAATTAAGAAGTTGTAACTCAGTAAGTTGCAACACCTTGTAAATTTATTTTAATATAAAAATTCATAAAATGTTGCAACTCAAAGTGTTACAACTTAAGTTGCAACTAGTTAAAAATTTTAAAAATAATTATGGAAACCATTTTTAATTATCCTTCTAGCTGAACAGAGCTTGAAAATCAACTTTCTTGTGCAAAAAAAGACTGTGAAATTGCTATATATTGGGGAGTCAGTTTGCATATAGTTATAATATCTTAGATAGAGAAAATAAGCGCATATAGGATGATCTTAATCAATCAAAAAAAGAAAGTAAATGCATACAGGATGATCTTAATAAATCTAAAAAAGAAAAATAGAAACTTTTCAATCAAATACATCAGTTTGGGAAAGAGATAATACAGTTACAGTCAGAGATAATTGATCCTAAGCTTGAAGATAAAATAAGGCAGTTACACTCAAAGATAAATGATCTCAAGTTCTAAATCACTCGTAAGGATATTTCTCTTACAGATGCTAAAAACAAATTCATTATAAAATCAGAAGAAATGCAAGCCTTCCAATCCAAGATGACAGAAGAGATACAAGCTCTCCAATCTAAGGTGGAGGAATTAGAGCAGGATATTTCTTTAGCAAAGGAGAACTTATCAGAAATGGATTCTTTCAAGCATAAATTTGAATTAGAAAAAGTTTGAACTATCTAATAAAAACATTGGTTTATTTTTAGTGAAAGAAGAATTAGAAGATTTACTGGCTGAAAAAAATGATGAATTATTACAGATAAAGGATGATTTAGTTTCAGTGCAAAAGACATTGATGGAAAAAAGATTTCCTTCTTCAAGAAGTGGAGTCGAGCTAGCTCGAGAAATCATTAGCTGATACTCATTTAGTAAAGCAGATTCCAAAAATATCTAGTGACTCTAAGCATAATGAGATAAGTGGTGGTGTTAGTAGACTGGAGAAAGATAATGACATCACTAGTTCTGAAACAACCTCAGTATCACCTAATTCTTTCTTTTTTCAGCTTGTGATCTTTCTCATAATACTATTACTAATAATATAGTTTTCACAGTCCATATTCTTTCATCTATATTCTTTTATTTTACCTTTCAATGAAGAAAAAAATATTCCAAAATATAAAATACCTTTTGATAGAAATTAGAATTATAGATTCCCAATCCGTCATGCAGAAGAACCAAAAGATAGAACTATTCCTATTAAACTTTTTCTTATAGATATTGATGAGGTCACTAAGCATACATCATCTCAAGTGAAAGGTCATAACCTAACTGCCTTTTTAGTATGGTAATTACAGGAAAAAGTAGAATAGGTAAGACTAATATTTTGGTGAATCTTTTTTTTAGTGATATACTTGAATGTATATATAAAGGTAAAAAAAACGGGTTTAGATATATTGCATGTGATGATTTAATAGTTTGTGATTATCATCCTGATGAACCAAAATGGGCATTTATAAGACATATATATAGCATAATTTTAAAAGATCTAAAAGCGCCTTACTATGAAAATATTACTTTCAAATATATCTCACTTGAAAAAATTTCTAGTATAAGAGCATTTTCGTCTAAGAGAAACACAGCAATTATTTTTGAGGATTTATGTCTTGCTTCAGAGCATGTACAGAAACAAATCAGCCAATTTTTTAGGAATGGTCGACATCAGAATATTTCAAGCATATATGTAACACAACATTACCATCATACATTAATAATTATCTGTGAAAATATTTCACATCTAATAGTCTTTAATGGTGGCAGTTCCTATCAAGATATTTCCAAAATCATTAGACAATATACTGAAGATGTGAAAAATACCACTATGATTATTAATAGTTATCTTCAAAAAGATGAATTTATTGTCTTTGATCTAAATAAATTAAATGATGATCCACTGGCAATTCGGTTGAGATTTGATACTCCATTAGACCTTCAAAAAAAGGTAGAGTTACGAGAAAAGTGAAAAAAAGGATCATAAAGATTCATTACTTCTAAAATTAAAGTTTTGATTTTTTTGATGAAGAATCACCTATTTGCAATGAGAAAGTTGATAATAAATGATGCTTGTGCAATTGCTAGAAAACGTGGTGGGCTTTGTCTTTCTACCGAATATGTTAATGCTAACATTCCAATGTGATGGTAATGTGCAGATGGTCATGAGTGGACTACATCTCTTAGCAATATAAAGAACGGTAAGACATGGTGCCTGTATTGTGCAAATAAGGCCAGTCATATAATTGAAGATGCTAAGCAAGTTGCTTTTAGTAAGAATAGAGAATGCCTTTCCGAAATGTATGATAATAGTTTTTCACCTTTATCATGGTGTTGTTCTAAAGAGCATGAGTGGAATGCATCTTTTAACAATGTGAAAAATAATAAGACGTGATGTCCATATTGCGCAAATAATAGGCCTTGTACACTTGAAAATGCCAAACAATTGGCTTATAATAGAAAGGGAGCTTGTCTTTCTGAATATTATATTAATAATCGTTCAGCTTTATTATGGATGTGTGATAAAAAGCATAGATGGTTTGCTACTTTTTATAACGTTAAACATTTAAACTCGTGGTGCCCATTCTGCCCGAAATATAAAAGAGAAAAGCTATGTCACGAGATTTTAACAAAATATCTTGGCCCTCCTTCACTAATCCGCAAACCTAATTTCTCAAAACACCAGAATGTCTCACAGGATTAGAACTTGATATTTATTACCCAGAATATGGCTTTGTAATCGAAAAATACATCAAATTCTTCCATAATGGCGATCCCAATAATTTTATCAAACAGTAAGCACGGGATCAATTCAAGAAAGAATTATGCGAAAAGAACCAGATTGCATTAAGGTATGTTTGGTATTACGAAGACCCATATGTAGTTATTCCAGAGCATCTTCGAGACTTGGTCTCAGAATAAACTTGAAACTTTAAATATTATTTTTGTAACATCTTAGCAATAAAGAAAATTTTTTCGTATTGCCAGTTACATGCAAGTTAAAAAAATATATAAGCAACTGATCCAGGTGACATAATCGCATTTATTTTTTACATATGTAGAATAACTGTTATCCCATTTTTTAATACATCTAGCAATTTTCAACCAAATCACATGCAAAAAAAATCAAATATTTCTAACTGCAACTTTTTTTAACTGAAATCATTCAAAACACCTGAAGTGGATGACATATGTATTAGATTAAGAATATATAAAAATCTTACATCACAAAAAGAGTTCGTCCATGTCATCATCCGTCACAAGTGATAAATCATCGTCGGGTAAATGTAACCATTCACGTAAATCCTCAGTATTATCATCAGCAGAAGGAATAAACGAACGAATCTTTCTCTGTACTTTTTCCTGTTCAACGAACTCATTTCGGATGACTGCAAAAAAATTAAAGATTCTTGCGTAGCATGTTATGGCTTCAAAGGAAAAAGGAATTATACATGAAGCCAATTCAATGGCTAAATACTTTTTTTTCTCAGCAAGGGAAATAGCAAATAATGTAATCCGATCACCAATAGCTTGAATGTTATACGTTCTTACTTTTTTGGCATCTTCAATTGGGCAATCTAAATTGTCAGAAAGTATCCTACACAGACTGCAAACAGACATCATAAGTAATTTTTTTTGCGTCACCAACTGTATGCCTTTTAGTAGATTTATAAGGTGGCCCCGATACTTCAATCTTTAACAATTCACTCGCATCTGATAGTCTCAGAACAAGTAAATCGGTTTTTCGGTGATTAATATTACTCATAAATATTTTATTGACTTCTTTAATCGATTCAACGTCCTTTTCAATCCATTCATACTTTACTTCAGGAAAAGCATTTCGGAAAGCACGAAGAATCGGCGAAAGGCATTCGACAATGTACGATCTTTCTTTCATATCCCTATCTAAAACCTTTGGTGTCAAGTACTTGAACATTGCAACGAAGTCCAGTAAGGTATGTCTTATGAAAAAGAGGAACCTAGCTTCCTCGGTTGTTTCGTTGTCTTTTTCAGTTACTGTCTCTTCCACTATTTTTGAAAAAATTTATGAATAGTCCGACTGTAAAATTACTCCAAGTTTTTTATTTATCGAGTCCTTTAAAACTAATTTATTTCGCATTTGAAGAATTCTTTCGATTTCCTCATATAATTTCTTTTCTGTAGTTTGTTTAATGAGATGTATTGTCGCAGTGAAGACACAAATAACGTGCGTGGAATATTGATTAAATGTTGTGCTCGTAATGATGGGCTTGTTGGGTGTTACGATCAACGTATTTGTGACTGTTGGTATTGTGGGACATGTTGTGCTTTCACGCGAATTATTCTCTTCACGGACATATTGTTTTGATCTTGCGTTTTTATACTTAAAAGATTTCAAAAATAAGGTTAGATTGGATGATTTATGTATACACTGTATATAACCTGGTAAAAGAAAATAATTACAATACCTTAGATCTCCTACATAATCATCAGAATCTGATGAGATTGGGGATCCAGCATAGTTAACCTTCTTTTTTCTTCTGAATACCATCCCACTTGAATGTTCTCCTTCATTTTCTGGTGTTCGTGGTTCACGTTGGGTGCGATCTTGAGGATTTGGAATGATGGGAGAGGCTTCTTCGTTCTTTTCATCTGTTTTCATTCTCTTTCGTTCTCGTTCTACTGAATAAAACTCCATACCGGCATATAATTGAAATCATCGTCGTGCTATCTGAAGGCCGGATTGTGTTCCCTTCTTCTGTAAATAACAAGTTCAGTAGTAAAGTTTAGTAGTAAAAATCAGAGAGAAGGTCACTAAAATATATCAAAAAATTTATATTATATCATTTACTTTGTCGAGATCTGACTCCAGATCAACCAGCTTAGATTCCAACTTTTTAGTGATGAGATTCGATCTCTCGCTTCCCAAATTTTCTTGTTTTGTTCATTCTTATATATACAGTATATGTATAAAAAATATGATAAAATCATCTCGAGACAAAAAAAACAGGGAGAAGGAAGTCCACAATAATCCACGGGAACTCGTCCCTCCCTCAGTGGCACTCGGCCTCAAGTTTAGCTTAAGGAACGTCCTTGTCTGAAAACGCGTTTCAGCACAGTGTTTCTATGGCCACGTGGTCTCGCCACTACCCATCGGTTTTAAGCTCGTTAAAACCATCTCAGAACTCGTCTGCTGGATTAACCATAGATTACACTGACACCCTCTTAAGAAAGAAAATAATACTGACTTGCAACTCTTTTTGCAAATTAAGGATTTCATTATAAACAGGATGTGTCTAGAATACAATTGTTTTAAACATCTCAACTCATCACCTAAAGCTACGTAGGAATTGTATTTATTATTTATTGAATTTGGTTGCTTTTCGATCCAGTTGAGATCCTAATCGTTCACACTTCCCCATGTGTTGGGTTCCCTGTTCCAGTACTCTAAAACAGTCCAAAGTTTATATTTCTCAGCCTCATGACCAGTAAAAACAAGAACAGGGTGTATACTCACCTGGATATTTCAATTTTGAACGATCCTCTTTCGAAATATACTCCATGGTGAATAGATAGTAGGATAGATTCATAAATTTATTAATTTTATTACAAAGCAATGCATATATATAAATCTTTCCATCAGAATTCGTACAATTTTTTCCTATTTCAGAATAACATCACGGAACAACAAACAATAACCTTATATATTCATAATCAAACTATATTATCCTTTCTGTGTGTATTTTTGGGGGGACGATGTTGTCGCTGGAAGATTATTTATCGTAAACAAATCCTTTGAATTTGTGCGTAAAGAAATTCTTTTTGTTCTCTTGACAGTATCAATAACATTGGTTATATCTCTCTGCAATTGTTAGAAATAATCAGAACCAAAATTTGTAAGAAAGAAATTCCAGCAAGATGACAATACAATGACATACCTTTAAACACAGAATGTCTTTTAAAGTTGCAAGGCTATCCGGAATACTACCCCACGTAGTGCCGATGCGATACCGACACGTCTCATAGGCGAAATAATATTGAAGGTCAACGTCATAATACATTGCATATATTTTTCCATTTAAACCTTTATTGAATGTAAAAAGATGGTTTTAGCAAAGTGTGAAAGATAATTGATAAGAGTCCTCTCCATTGCCTCCTATGAATATTGTACCTCCTTGATTTATTCCATGTATAATAATATTCTTTATGTCCCTGGCTGTTTCCCTTGTAAAATGTAATCTCTTTAAGAGGCGGTCTAGCTGATCTTTCATCTCTCGGAGGAGTTTTTGCTTGTAGGAAATCGGTTTCGAATTCTGTGAATCCTCATCAACGTACGTTTCGGAACCAAAGTATTCCGTGTCATCGATGCGAAAGAGAATGTCGATTTTGTGGCCATATTGTTTCCTTTCCGATTCTTCACGTGACAAGTTTTTACGCTCAATGGATGCAAATGACATCTCTTCACCCCTGAGGATAAAATAAAGAAATTCAAAGCTAAATCAACTATCACATTAAATATTACTAAGAAAGTAATCTCATACCGATGCACTTGAACTTCTTCACATGTTAAGAAGCAGTCGTCGATCAACGGAGTTAAAATATGGCAGTTCAGCCATCCTTCCGAATTTTTATTTAGAAGTAGGTTTCGCGGGGCCTCAAAAAAGACAACCTATAATAACAGATAAGATGACATCTATGGAAACGAAAACAAAATACCCACAATTTGTTGGCGAAACAGTGTACCCAATTCGTTTCATAATGTTTAAAAAACGAATAAGGTTCTTCTGGTGGTATAAACGGGAGTTGGAGTCTTCTACGGAATTTGTCACGAGTGTCAGACTGAAAACCGAGATAAAGAAAAGAGTGGGCGAAATTAGTAATGAATATAAAGAAAAAGAATTATTGGCGACAAATCCCTAAACATACATTATCGATTAATTGATCGATATATTCCGTGACATCATTAACACAGGAACCCATAGATGATAATCACGTTTTATATTTAATCTTTCCATAAAATGATTATTCGTTGTATCAATTAATATTTGAGCTGATGGGTTCACTATTATAAAAATAGAGGCAATTAGTTAATTAATGAATATGATATAGGTGCAGATTAACTTTAGTAAATATGTTTTTTACAATATCGATTTAACTTTCTTTTTTTCTTGATTTAGCTGTTTGATTAATTCTTGATTTACAGATGTGGAATAAATTTGATGTTCCGGGGTGCTAGGCCTTACGATTGGAATCTCTAAGGATGGTGAACTTGATGATGTCTCCGCGTTTCTTTCTTTTGCAGGTTCGACCTGTTCACATAACAAGGAGAAGAGAATTTTTGAGAGGAATTTGCGTGAACAAATTCTCACAACAGGGTTGCATATACTGACCTTCTTAGTGCTAACCGATTCTTTACTCTATAGATATCAAAAGTGGCCATTAAAAAAATGCTTGCATAAATTTCAAACTTTTTCATTGTACCAACATTTTTTGGAAGAGATAGTTGTTTTTTCCGCTTTGGTTGAGGTTGGAAATCGTCATCGGACTAAATACAAAAAGAAAGTTAGTTTCACTATCACAACTTTCAGCTAAAAAAAATCACGCGTCTGTACCTCTTGGCCTGATTCAGTGAAATTTCTACTGTTGATTTTACTGTTAATATTCCCAACTATATTTCCATTCCCATTGATTGACTGGTGAATGTGGGTCTGACCACGCAAGCGCTTTTCCTCCCACCCTTTGGCCTTTTGACGGTCTGGTTGAGAACCCTAGTATGGAAAATTTAGAATTAGTGATAGTATCCTTTGACTAATACGCCCAATTCATCATTGATTTCCCATCCCACCGAACAACATCGCAACCAAGTAGGTAACCTGTGTTCTAATGGGTCCAATGTTGGATCGGCAAGTAGCCTTTAGCATCAGATTGCGCCAACACCAGTTCGTGGCTTGGCATGTCGGAAGCCGAATAGGTCTCCGTCACGCCACTTTTCCCACTTATCTCAGTAAAAAAATATTTACTCGCCTCTCTATATCTATCAAGTAACATTTGTGCACTATTCTTCCTGTCACCTTGTTCGTTGTCAACGATTGTTTTGAGGCATTTTATGTAATTATCTATTTTCAGCTGAAACGGCTCTAGTTCGCATTTATTTAAGAAATCAAGGACACTCCAGGACGCAGGGTTTTGGTCGAAATATTTGCTGGACATGACTATCTATTACGATTAGGGACGGTCCGGTCCGTCCGCAGTCCTAAAGACCGGTTCTTAAAATTGTTATTGAACCAGATCGGTTTATAAAACCGGTTTATTAATCGGTCTAGAAATTTACAAGACCGGTCTTAATAATTTATTAACTCAAACCTATATCTGGCATGGCATATACAATATAATTTTTAGTATTATATCTGATCCTAACATTTATAGCATATATAGAATTCATAATGATAACACAAAAAAAACTTTAAAAATTATTTGTTTTCTTTATTTACAGCAACCAACCGCAACAAATTTCTTGAAATTTTTAAAAAATAAAATATATTTAAACTTATTATTAAA